ACCTTATGAAATTCAGTTTTATAAGCAGAAGTATCAGTTTACAATCAAACAGGCTTAAATAAGATGCTGAGGGTATTGTAGGACACATTGTACCCTGTAGCATAAACGGAGTGTATCAGAGTTCTCAGGGTGCTAGTTATTTCTGAAGAGAAACAAATAGCTGCTTAATATCTTTAAAAATAAAAAGATGTTTCAAAGTGTTTACGCACCTTTCTCTCATGTGAAGGCAAAGTCAGTCACTTTTTTTTCTTTCTTCTGACTTGTAGACCTCAGGAAGAGCCTACAACCTGGACGGGTTACTTTGGAAAAGTGCTGATGGCCTCGACAAGCTATCTGCCCTCTCAAGTAACAGAGATGTTCAACCAGGGTAGAGCCTTTGCTACAGTCCGCCTGCCCTTCTGTGGGCACAAAAACATCTGTGCACTTGCCACGTGAGTAGAGAAGCCAAGCCTGTGTTTGCCACCCCCCTGGGTTGCCACGCTGGGCTACGGAGAGGCTAACACTGTAGAACATAACCTCATCCCCAGCAGGGTGGGGAGTACACAGAGAAATGGATCACCTGTGACCATCTCAAAGCCTCTTCCTTTTTTTAAGAGTTTTGTGTTAAAGCCAACACTTCACTATCCTGTGAGGGGAGAAGGGAAAGGCGTAGTATTTGGGTGAGAATAGACCATTTCTAAGTGTTTTTTAAGTGTCTTTTAATTTGGAAAGGAGAATGTTGAGAACAGACCCATGGGCTTGTGGCACTTGCTTCCATTAGGGCTAGGGGGAGTGATACTGTATGTTGTAGTGAATTGCAAAATCCAGACTAACCATTAAAAGGAGTCTGTGAAAGCAAGTTCGTATTATTTTTGTCTCTAAAACAGGATAGCATTCATTGAAGTTAATTTTGAAGACTAATTTTTATTCTGTCTTCACCAAAGGCAGATCCCATTTGGCACAGCTCCCAAAGCAATAAGCTGAGTGGTAGTAAACTTATTTTCGGGGGGGTTTACAGTTTTTATGCTAAATTGACTTCATGTCTGTGCTCTCACTGCTGATCTCAAAGCACCCTTTAAGCAATAATTAAGCCTTGTAATATTTCTGAAATAAGTAAACACTTCCCATCACAATATTTGTCTCTGGAGTTGTGCAAAGCTTGGTAACAGGACGGTGACTTCTTACTGTTTCACTGAGTCATTTATAAGTTGTTTGATTGCTGTGGCATCCCATTAGCTCCACAATGTGATTATGCCTTAATTTTTTATGCACAGTTCTTTCCTAGGTTCTCTAACTGTTAACAATGTTCCCTGTCTAGAAGCGAGAGTGTGGAAAATAGTGGCTTAAAATCATGGGAGGGGAGAAGAGTGTGCTTTCTTAAGTTCTTATTCATCTGTTGCTCTCCCCTAAACTTTTCTAGGATCCAGAAGATCCCTCGTTTATTGGTGGGAGCTGCCGATGGGTATCTCTACATGTACAACCTGGACCCCCAAGAAGGAGGAGAGTGCACACTAATGAAGCAGCACAAGTACGTACGAGTTAGCTGAGGACTGATGTATTTTATCTCTTCGCAAAGTCCAGTTTGTTTTTAAGCTTAGTTCTGTTCTGCACAGATCTAACTTGGAACAGCTAATTTCTTTGAACTAATCTTTTTCTGGACCTCTGATGTAACTTCAGAATTCCCCTGTGCCTTCCTGCCCAGTATCTGCTGCACCAAGCGCTGCTTTACCAGCAGAAACTCAACACTGTCCCATGGCAGCGAAGGATCAATCGCTGTTAGCTCTGTCATCCTGTTTCCTTTTACTTGGCACTTTGAGTTGAGTTACTTAAACAAGAACTTGAAACGTCTGACACCATCCTCTTCATCAATAAATGAAGCGGTTACAGACATGAGAGAGAGAGAGAGAGATGTTACTCTGACTTCACAGGCCTATGAAATTATCAGGATTCTCTCTCTAGCAGTGTCCTTATTAAACTTCCTTGCATATAGGCCAACTAATGTTCTGCAGCAGTGCTGTAGAAATCTTAAGGAAAATATGATGAGGCTTTGTTATTTTTTTAATAAGGTTTGGCAGGAGAAGCTAGGGTGATACAGTCAGGTTTCTTACATGATTAGTCATAGAATTAAAGCCAGTAATTCAATGATAATTCAGGTTTGCAGCTTTGGTCAATCTGTAATACTGGTCAAAAATATCATACATTTATCTAAATGTTTTAAGGTATCACCTCTGGTTTCATTTGTAGATAAGTAAAGTCTCATAGAGGGAAGCTTTTTATCAAGTTAATCTCTGGAATGCTCTAATACCTTCACTGGAGAGTTTCCTGGTGTATGAAGCAACAACTTCTGTTGTGGATGTTACTTAAGAGACACTATGTAATATTGCTGATTGGAATGTTTGGGTTTTTTAATTGTGTACTCTTGTTTTGAGTTTTACCTATCAGCAGCTACTAGGATTTAGATCCTGATGCCATATCAGAGGCAAGCATGTCGCTGATGTCTTCAGTGTTAAGCTACTAGGATTTAGATCCTGATGCCATATTGGAGGGAAGCATGTCGCTGATGTGTCTTCGGTATTGAAGTGTTGTCAGATGCCTTCTTGACAGCCCTCTGGAAGGGAGGGACCAAGTTCCTCCTGTTCCATGTTCACATGTATTATTCTTGCCTGTCTGATGAGATATTCCTGTGTAGCTGTCACCTGAAGCTGTTTCATGCCCAGGTGGATCACCTCTCCAGCTAACCTCTCTCTCTTTTGTAGGCTGGATGGCAGCATGGAGCCAGCCAACGAGATCTTGGAGTCTGCATCCCACGACCGGCCGTTGGTAGCGCAGACGTACAGTGCCGCTGTCACTAAAGGTACATATGTGCCTTCCTCACCCACAAGGCATGGTAAGGAGGAGGCTGGAAACGGGGCAGAGAGCATCTCTGCACATCACTTCATTCTAGGTGGTGAGCTTGTGCTTGTCTGCTTCACCACCTAGATTTTCTTAACTGCGGGTGTGATGCGGAACACTGAGCAGTGAGAAAAGAGCACTTGTGATGTACAGTAGTTTCCTGTAGATGGATCGCTCATCTTTGCTGCTTTCTGGGTAGAACTTCATCTCAAATTGTGACTGATTACTCGAGTGATAGTTGCAGTATCTACCAAATGGTTCTTCAGATGCCCTAATGCAATTACTTCGTACAGGAGTTCTGCACCCGGACCTTGTGCAAAGCATCTGAATTATAAACACAGCCTTTTTTCCCTTTTTAGCAAGGTTGAGTGCTCCTGTTGTTCTGTTACAGGAACAGTGACCTTTTAACCTGATTGTGCTGCTCTGTTAAATTAAGAGGATGAGAATTTGGTTAGTGCTGCAGCTCTTCGAGCTGAGCTTTAACTGTCTTGGTATGGTACTTGGGTCAGAGCTTCAACTTTAGAGGAAAGACTGTATAGCATTGTTACTGCAGCTGTAATCCATGAGATTATGGAAAACACCAGCCTGCCCAAAGCACCAGTATGCATTCCACACACAGAGTAGTTGAATTTTGATCATAAACTGCTCTTGGCTTGGGGAATCACAGTCACGATGAAGGCAAACACAGGGTGCCAGTGAGACTGTGGCAAGGAATGTCTGGTGTTTCAGCTCTAATCATTCACTTTGGTTCTATCCTCAGTTTGTGCTGCTGATCCCCCTGGCTAATTGTTCCTTTCTCTGCAGCCTATACAGATGACCTGGGTGCTGTGGGTGGAGCTTGCCTGGAAGATGAAACCAACTCCCTTAGATTGGATGAAGACAGTGAGCATCCCCCCATGATCCTTCGGACAGACTAAACTTTGACCTGTGAACTCACTCCTGAAGCAGAGAACACTGGCTTGATGTTTCTTGAGGAATCTCGTGTTATGCTGCTATGAACTTTGACATGAGTTGGGAGAGAGGATGACAGACTCTTACCGTTTTAAGTCGTAGCTGTAGTTCTAATTCTATACAATTGGAAAAATATATGGTTTTCAATTCAGTGGCTTTTAATCTTGCTTATCTATTTTAGCTGTGTTTATTATTTTTTTTTTGTTGCCAAAACCTGCTGTTCGTGCAGCCCTCGGAGCCTACTAGCTTTGCATGCGTTCATGTGCCAAGCAAGCATAGGAGGGGGAGAGAGAGAGAAGCCACTTTATAACAAACTCGAGTTTGTATTTTTTTTATATATGTATATAATATTTAGCTTATATAAGAAAGGAGTAGAAGAAGTGGTTCTGGAAGCTGAGACTGGTTCTGCACTGACAAAGGTCCAAATGGTTTCCTGTGCATGGGCTTGCAGGCATACCTAGTGACTGACATGCAACCTCTCAAATGCAATGGCCTGTTTTTTTTGGGTTCTCCCTCCCCTTTCCTGGACCATTTTGTTAATTAAAATTCCTTCTGAATGTTGTGTATTTGTGGGACTGTTCTGTTTGTCAAGATGGAAAACTGGAAGTGTTTCCCTACATAAGGATGCAGAATATAGGAAGTGCCTTTAGAGGGAAGGAAAGAAATTGCTGCAGGAAGAAAGCTGGGATGAAGGAGGAATTGCCAGAGACTCTTGTTTGTACACCTTCAGTACTTGGGCATCTGTAGCCCGTAGTGGTTTTTTGTAGAGAAGGCTTTGAATGCACTTTCTCTCCTGTAGATTGTCTTATTTCCTTGGCAGAGTAGCAATAACCTTTTTTATATGCTTTAAATTATCCAAAGCAAGGATTCTGTCAGGCTGGATGGAAGTTGCTGGAGAGTGTGGCAGCTCCACTCTTTAAACAGCCTTAAGGTTTTCAGCTGGAAGGCAAAGCTCTCCATTCTTGCTTCTCTTCAGTCTGGGGCTGGCTCTACTGGTCTAATAGTGAAGGTTCATGATCTTTTTTTCAAGATACTGATGTAAATATAAATGATTTTGGAAGATTAATTTTTTCTGGGTTCTCTTCTGATGAGTGTCAGTCCGGGCTTTAAAAGGTGCCAGGTTATAAAATGTTCCTATTTATGATTTGAGAAGACAGTCTTATATTTCTCTGTAAGTTGTTGGAAACAATTATTTGCTTAGTGATAAACAAGTAGATAAAATCTTGAAGTGTAGCGCTTCCCAGTAGATCTTGCTCTTGTATAATGAACCTTATGAAATTCAGTTTTATAAGCAGAAGTATCAGTTTACAATCAAACAGGCTTAAATAAGATGCTGAGGGTATTGTAGGACACATTGTACCCTGTAGCATAAACGGAGTGTATCAGAGTTCTCAGGGTGCTAGTTATTTCTGAAGAGAAACAAATAGCTGCTTAATATCTTTAAAAATAAAAAGATGTTTCAAAGTGTTTACGCACCTTTCTCTCATGTGAAGGCAAAGTCAGTCACTTTTTTTTCTTTCTTCTGACTTGTAGACCTCAGGAAGAGCCTACAACCTGGACGGGTTACTTTGGAAAAGTGCTGATGGCCTCGACAAGCTATCTGCCCTCTCAAGTAACAGAGATGTTCAACCAGGGTAGAGCCTTTGCTACAGTCCGCCTGCCCTTCTGTGGGCACAAAAACATCTGTGCACTTGCCACGTGAGTAGAGAAGCCAACCCTGTGTTTGCCACCCCCCTGGGTTGCCACGCTGGGCTACGGAGAGGCTAACACTGTAGAACATAACCTCATCCCCAGCAGGGTGGGGAGTACACAGAGAAATGGATCACCTGTGACCATCTCAAAGCCTCTTCCTTTTTTTAAGAGTTCTGTGATCACCGTCCTGTGAGGGGAGAAGGGAAAGGAGTAGTATTTGGGTGAGAATAGACCATTCCTAAGTGTTGTTTAAAGATGTCTTTTAATTTGGAAAGGAGAATGTTGAGAACAGACCCATGGGCTTGTGGCACTTGCTTCCATTAGGGCTAGGGGGAGTGATACTGTATGTTGTAGTGAATTGCAAAATCCAGACTAACCATTAAAAGGAGTCTGTGAAAGCAAGTTCGTATTATTTTTGTCTCTAAAACAGGATAGCATTCATTGAAGTTAATTTTGAAGACTAATTTTTATTCTGTCTTCACCAAAGGCAGATCCCATTTGGCACAGCTCCCAAAGCAATAAGCTGAGTGGTAGTAAACTTATTTTCGGGGGGGTTTACAGTTTTTATGCTAAATTGACTTCATGTCTGTGCTCTCACTGCTGATCTCAAAGCACCCTTTAAGCAATAATTAAGCCTTGTAATATTTCTGAAATAAGTAAACACTTCCCATCACAATATTTGTCTCTGGAGTTGTGCAAAGCTTGGTAACAGGACGGTGACTTCTTACTGTTTCACTGAGTCATTTATAAGTTGTTTGATTGCTGTGGCATCCCATTAGCTCCACAATGTGATTATGCCTTAATTTTTTATGCACAGTTCTTTCCTAGGTTCTCTAACTGTTAACAATGTTCCCTGTCTAGAAGCGAGAGTGTGGAAAATAGTGGCTTAAAATCATGGGAGGGGAGAAGAGTGTGCTTTCTTAAGTTCTTATTCATCTGTTGCTCTCCCCTAAACTTTTCTAGGATCCAGAAGATCCCTCGTTTATTGGTGGGAGCTGCCGATGGGTATCTCTACATGTACAACCTGGACCCCCAAGAAGGAGGAGAGTGCACACTAATGAAGCAGCACAAGTACGTACGAGTTAGCTGAGGACTGATGTATTTTATCTCTTCGCAAAGTCCAGTTTGTTTTTAAGCTTAGTTCTGTTCTGCACAGATCTAACTTGGAACAGCTAATTTCTTTGAACTAATCTTTTTCTGGACCTCTGATGTAACTTCAGAATTCCCCTGTGCCTTCCTGCCCAGTATCTGCTGCACCAAGCGCTGCTTTACCAGCAGAAACTCAACACTGTCCCATGGCAGCGAAGGATCAATCGCTGTTAGCTCTGTCATCCTGTTTCCTCTTACTTGGCACTTTGAGTTGAGTTACTTAAACAAGAACTTGAAACGTCTGACACCATCCTCTTCATCAATAAATGAAGCGGTTACAGACATGAGAGAGAGAGAGAGAGATGTTACTCTGACTTCACAGGCCTATGAAATTATCAGGATTCTCTCTCTAGCAGTGTCCTTATTAAACTTCCTTGCATATAGGCCAACTAATGTTCTGCAGCAGTGCTGTAGAAATCTTAAGGAAAATATGATGAGGCTTTGTTATTTTTTTAATAAGGTTTGGCAGGAGAAGCTAGGGTGATACAGTCAGGTTTCTTACATGATTAGTCATAGAATTAAAGCCAGTAATTCAATGATAATTCAGGTTTGCAGCTTTGGTCAATCTGTAATACTGGTCAAAAATATCATACATTTATCTAAATGTTTTAAGGTATCACCTCTGGTTTCATTTGTAGATAAGTAAAGTCTCATAGAGGGAAGCTTTTTATCAAGTTAATCTCTGGAATGCTCTAATACCTTCACTGGAGAGTTTCCTGGTGTATGAAGCAACAACTTCTGTTGTGGATGTTACTTAAGAGACACTATGTAATATTGCTGATTGGAATGTTTGGGTTTTTTAATTGTGTACTCTTGTTTTGAGTTTTACCTATCAGCAGCTACTAGGATTTAGATCCTGATGCCATATCAGAGGCAAGCATGTCGCTGATGTCTTCAGTGTTAAAGTGTTGTCAGATGCCTTCTTGACAGCCCTCTGGAAGGGAGGGACCAAGTTCCTCCTGTTGCATGTTCACATGTATTATTCTTGTCTGTCTGAGATATTCCTGTGTAGCTGTCACCTGAAGCTGTTTCATGCCCAGGTGGATCACCTCTCCAGCTAACCTCTCTCTCTTTTGTAGGCTGGATGGCAGCATGGAGCCAGCCAACGAGATCCTGGAGTCTGCATCCCACGACCGGCCGTTGGTAGCGCAGACGTACAGTGCCGCTGTCACTAAAGGTACATATGTGCCTTCCTCACCCACAAGGCATGGTAAGGAGGAGGCTGGAAACGGGGCAGAGAGCATCTCTGCACATCACTTCATTCTAGGTGGTGAGCTTGTGCTTGTCTGCTTCACCACCCAGATTTTCTTAACTGCGGGTGTGATGCGGAACACTGAGCAGTGAGAAAAGAGCACTTGTGATGTACAGTAGTTTCCTGTAGATGGATCGCTCATCTTTGCTGCTTTCTGGGTAGAACTTCATCTCAAATTGTGACTGATTACTCGAGTGATAGTTGCAGTATCTACCAAATGGTTCTTCAGATGCCCTAATGCAATTACTTCGTACAGGAGTTCTGCACCCGGACCTTGTGCAAAGCATCTGAATTATAAACACAGCCTTTTTTCCCTTTTTAGCAAGGTTGAGTGCTCCTGTTGTTCTGTTACAGGAACAGTGACCTTTTAACCTGATTTTGCTGCTCTGTTAAATTAAGAGGATGAGAATTTGGTTAGTGCTGCAGCTCTTCGAGCTGAGCTTTAACTGTCTTGGTATGGTACTTGGGTCAGAGCTTCAACTTTAGAGGAAAGACTGTATAGCATTGTTACTGCAGCTGTAATCCATGAGATTATGGAAAACACCAGCCTGCCCAAAGCACCAGTATGCATTCCACACACAGAGTAGTTGAATTTTGATCATAAACTGCTCTTGACTTGGGGAATCACAGTCACGATGAAGGCAAACACAGGGTGCCAGTGAGACTGTAGCAAGGAATGTCTGGTGTTTCAGCTCTAATCATTCACTTTGGTTCTATCCTCAGTTTGTGCTGCTGATCCCCCTGGCTAATTGTTCCTTTCTCTGCAGCCTATACAGATGACCTGGGTGCTGTGGGTGGAGCTTGCCTGGAAGATGAAACCAACTCCCTTAGATTGGATGAAGACAGTGAGCATCCCCCCATGATCCTTCGGACAGACTAAACTTTGACCTGTGAACTCACTCCTGAAGCAGAGAACACTGGCTTGATGTTTCTTGAGGAATCTCGTGTTATGCTGCTATGAACTTTGACATGAGTTGGGAGAGAGGATGACAGACTCTTACCGTTTTAAGTCGTAGCTGTAGTTCTAATTCTATACAATTGGAAAAATATATGGTTTTCAATTCAGTGGCTTTTAATCTTGCTTATCTATTTTAGCTGTGTTTATTATTTTTTTTTTGTTGCCAAAACCTGCTGTTCGTGCAGCCCTCGGAGCCTACTAGCTTTGCATGCGTTCATGTGCCAAGCAAGCATAGGAGGGGGAGAGAGAGAGAAGCCACTTTATAACAAACTCGAGTTTGTATTTTTTTTATATATGTATATAATATTTAGCTTATATAAGAAAGGAGTAGAAGAAGTGGTTCTGGAAGCTGAGACTGGTTCTGCACTGACAAAGGTCCAAATGGTTTCCTGTGCATGGGCTTGCAGGCATACCTAGTGACTGACATGCAACCTCTCAAATGCAATGGCCTGTTTTTTTTGGGTTCTCCCTCCCCTTTCCTGGACCATTTTGTTAATTAAAATTCCTTCTGAATGTTGTGTATTTGTGGGACTGTTCTGTTTGTCAAGATGGAAAACTGGAAGTGTTTCCCTACATAAGGATGCAGAATATAGGAAGTGCCTTTAGAGGGAAGGAAAGAAATTGCTGCAGGAAGAAAGCTGGGATGAAGGAGGAATTGCCAGAGACTCTTGTTTGTACACCTTCAGTACTTGGGCATCTGTAGCCCGTAGTGGTTTTTTGTAGAGAAGGCTTTGAATGCACTTTCTCTCCTGTAGATTGTCTTATTTCCTCGGCAGAGTAGCAATAACCTTTTTTTTATATGCTTTAAATTATATGCTTTAAATTATCCAAAGCAAGGATTCTGTCAGGCTGGATGGAAGTTGCTGGAGAGTGTGGCAGCTCCACTCTTTAAACAGCCTTAAGGTTTTCAGCTGGAAGGCAAAGCTCTCCATTCTTGCTTCTCTTCAGTCTGGGGCTGGCTCTACTGGTCTAATAGTGAAGGTTCATGATCTTTTTTTCAAGATACTGATGTAAATATAAATGATTTTGGAAGATTAATTTTTTCTGGGTTCTCTTCTGATGAGTGTCAGTCCATTTTTTTTAACTTTTATTTTTTTATTTCCTCTTGCATCAGAGTACCTCTTGTGATACACTCCGAGGACTGGTTGTCTCTTTGGCAGGTTTGGAATAAATCTTTTAACTGTCCTGACCCTGGCTGGGGCTTTCCAAGGCTGAGCAGTGCTGCAGACTATTTTTAGGGTCGTGATGTGCCTTCTTTTAAGTCTTGGATAACGGTTAGTGAGCAAGTGATTAGCAAAGTACTTGGTGAGTGTTACTTTCCTTTGCCAAAATAAGCCTGCTTTGCCTTTTGTGTAGCAGTGAGGGTTGCTTCCTTTCCCTCTTCTGACTGCTTGCAAAGAAATAAAAACAGACAAGGAAATTGCAGCTCTTGAGAGGAGGACAGAAGCTGAGGGCTCCAGCTACGTGTGAACTCCCCACCACAACTGGACAGTGATGTGCTTTTAGGATTTGGGGCTGTGAACGAGTCTTCCCTCACAATAGCAGGCAGTGGTCTGTCCCCAAGGCCCTGTGTTGAGCAGGTGGCTTTCCCTTTCCTCTAACCATGCAGAAGGTGGTGGTGGCTCCTGCTACCTGCATCAGTGAGGCTGCTCTTAGTTTGTGGATGTGGAAGATGTTCTTAGATGGGCACACAGGGAAAGAAGGGATCAGGCTTGTTTAGTCACTAAAAACCCTTGACTGTCCTGAGTAGTTGGCTGGAGGGGCTTGTGGTGTCCTCTCCAGAACCCACCACATCCAAAGCAAACCCCTGAGACATCACTTAGTCACTTGACTTTAAGCTCTGACAAACAACTAAATTCTGTGGCCTGGGATTATGTTTTTACTGCAAGTGTTATCAGCTTTGCTGTGGGGCTTATAACTGTGGAGTAAAATACAAATTTTGAAGTATGTATAATCTGAGTGAGCTTTGGCAAACTGAACCGCCCGGGAGCTGTCAGATGTCTGCTGGTTGCAGACTGAAGCTGGTGATGTTCCTGGTAACATACTTGGAGTCTTGGCGTGGACTCCACCAGCAGAGTTAGCAGTAAACAAGCATAAGCAGCACAGGTCTGCTAAGCACACAGGTTTTACAACTCTTGAGTGAAATAAAGGCTGTGTTACATAGTAGGATATACCCCTTTAATGTAATTCCTAACTTACTGCTAAAATTCAGGACTTTTATTGTACTAGTTTTCCCCCCTTCTTAACTTTTCCACCTTATCTTCCACAGGTGAGTTGGAGATCTCATATTCACTGTGTTTGTGTCTTCCACGTGCTGTCGTGTGCTCCGGCTCCTCAGCCACATGCTGGCTGTCAAATCCCTGTGCCCTGCCTGGTTTGCTCTTAAGTAGAAGCTGGAAACCAGTTAAAGTATCTATCTTGTTGCTGTTGTAACTGGGAAAATCTTTTTAGAGAGCAAAAGGATTGATGTTCTGGGGTTAGTGACCAGCGTGGAGCTGGTGGGGTGCAGCGGGTGGTTTCTGGTCTTGACATCTGTCTGTTTACCCTATTTTGTATTTCTACTTCTGAGGCAGAAAGCTTTTATCTGCCCTGGACCTTTCTTATGTCTCCGTTTCTGACAGTGTATTTAAGAGTGGTGACAGTTTGTCTTAAGTTCATTGCATGAAGTTATAAACTTTGTCTCAGATAAAATATGTCTTGACAGTTTGTCTTAAGTTCATTGCATGAAGTTATAAACTTTTTCTCAGATGATAAAATATGTCTAATCATAGAATGGAATATTTCCCTCTGATGGCCTTGGGCCCTCAGGAACCACCCTGCTGTGGTTATGCTACCAAAGTGAGAAGCCTTTCAGGTTGGGGTTTCAAAGATGTATTTTTTATTATTGTTTGTGTTTTGTTTTTTTTTTCCCTCAAACATACCAGAAATGCTGTTTGCAGCTGCATCCTCACCTGGGTAGGGAGCACAGGATGGCAGTGCCGTGCTCTGCGGATCAGGTGGTGTCTAAATATCTCTGTCCTGATGGTCTGACAGCCCTGGATTCCCCAGGGCCAGCCAAGGAGAGGCTCTAGCCCTGTGCTGTGGCCACAGGCTTCCAGTCATATGATATGGGAACACCTTCACAGCCCCTCTCCTTTTAGACTGACCTTCCTTGGGAGGACAGAGTTTGTTCTGTGGCAGTGCCTCTCCCTCTAGAGCTGGACTATGGTTGATAGCTTTTCTTTTTTAAACTCCTTAGAGAGTTGGGGGCAGAGATGGACAACTGAAACTACCAAAGCTGGCGGGGGAAGGGGGAACTTATAACCTTGGAATCCTAAACTCAGGTCTTAGATTGTGGTGGGATCTGTTCCCGGTGGGTACCCTGGGGAAGGAGCTGTTTTGATGTGCAAATAGTGAGTGTACACGCTCCTGCCGTCTCCACATCTGGCTGTTTACCCTGTTTTGTATTTCTACTTCTGAGCCAGAAAGCTTTTATCTGCCCTGGACCTTTCTTATGTCCCCGCTTCTGAAAAAGAAGTGATAGATACAAATCTAGCAGTTAAAAGGCTGGGCCTGGAGGAGGAGGAGGAATTAAAAAGCAAGAAGAGGTCAGTAAAAGCTGTTCCTTCTGAGGTCCTGTTCAGTGGGAATGTCTTTTAATTTGGAAAGGAGAATGTTGAGAACAGACCCATGGGCTTGTGGCACTTGCTTCCATTAGGGCTAGGGGGAGTGATACTGTATGTTGTAGTGAATTGCAAAATCCAGACTAACCATTAAAAGGAGTCTGTGAAAGCAAGTTCGTATTATTTTTGTCTCTAAAACAGGATAGCATTCATTGAAGTTAATTTTGAAGACTAATTTTTATTCTGTCTTCACCAAAGGCAGATCCCATTTGGCACAGCTCCCAAAGCAATAAGCTGAGTGGTAGTAAACTTATTTTCGGGGGGGTTTACAGTTTTTATGCTAAATTGACTTCATGTCTGTGCTCTCACTGCTGATCTCAAAGCACCCTTTAAGCAATAATTAAGCCTTGTAATATTTCTGAAATAAGTAAACACTTCCCATCACAATATTTGTCTCTGGAGTTGTGCAAAGCTTGGTAACAGGACGGTGACTTCTTACTGTTTCACTGAGTCATTTATAAGTTGTTTGATTGCTGTGGCATCCCATTAGCTCCACAATGTGATTATGCCTTAATTTTTTATGCACAGTTCTTTCCTAGGTTCTCTAACTGTTAACAATGTTCCCTGTCTAGAAGCGAGAGTGTGGAAAATAGTGGCTTAAAATCATGGGAGGGGAGAAGAGTGTGCTTTCTTAAGTTCTTATTCATCTGTTGCTCTCCCCTAAACTTTTCTAGGATCCAGAAGATCCCTCGTTTATTGGTGGGAGCTGCCGATGGGTATCTCTACATGTACAACCTGGACCCCCAAGAAGGAGGAGAGTGCACACTAATGAAGCAGCACAAGTACGTACGAGTTAGCTGAGGACTGATGTATTTTATCTCTTCGCAAAGTCCAGTTTGTTTTTAAGCTTAGTTCTGTTCTGCACAGATCTAACTTGGAACAGCTAATTTCTTTGAACTAATCTTTTTCTGGACCTCTGATGTAACTTCAGAATTCCCCTGTGCCTTCCTGCCCAGTATCTGCTGCACCAAGCGCTGCTTTACCAGCAGAAACTCAACACTGTCCCATGGCAGCGAAGGATCAATCGCTGTTAGCTCTGTCATCCTGTTTCCTTTTACTTGGCACTTTGAGTTGAGTTACTTAAACAAGAACTTGAAACGTCTGACACCATCCTCTTCATCAATAAATGAAGCGGTTACAGACATGAGAGAGAGAGAGAGAGATGTTACTCTGACTTCACAGGCCTATGAAATTATCAGGATTCTCTCTCTAGCAGTGTCCTTATTAAACTTCCTTGCATATAGGCCAACTAATGTTCTGCAGCAGTGCTGTAGAAATCTTAAGGAAAATATGATGAGGCTTTGTTATTTTTTTAATAAGGTTTGGCAGGAGAAGCTAGGGTGATACAGTCGGGTTTCTTACATGATTAGTCATAGAATTAAAGCCAGTAATTCAATGATAATTCAGGTTTGCAGCTTTGGTCAATCTGTAATACTGGTCAAAAATATCATACATTTATCTAAATGTTTTAAGGTATCACCTCTGGTTTCATTTGTAGATAAGTAAAGTCTCATAGAGGGAAGCTTTTTATCAAGTTAATCTCTGGAATGCTCTAATACCTTCACTGGAGAGTTTCCTGGTGTATGAAGCAACAACTTCTGTTGTGGATGTTACTTAAGAGACACTATGTAATATTGCTGATTGGAATGTTTGGGTTTTTTAATTGTGTACTCTTGTTTTGAGTTTTACCTATCAGCAGCTACTAGGATTTAGATCCTGATGCCATATTGGAGGGAAGCATGTCGCTGATGTGTCTTCGGTATTGAAGTGTTGTCAGATGCCTTCTTGACAGCCCTCTGGAAGGGAGGGACCAAGTTCCTCCTGTTCCATGTTCACATGTATTATTCTTGCCTGTCTGATGAGATATTCCTGTGTAGCTGTCACCTGAAGCTGTTTCATGCCCAGGTGGATCACCTCTCCAGCTAACCTCTCTCTCTTTTGTAGGCTGGATGGCAGCATGGAGCCAGCCAACGAGATCTTGGAGTCTGCATCCCACGACCGGCCGTTGGTAGCGCAGACGTACAGTGCCGCTGTCACTAAAGGTACATATGTGCCTTCCTCACCCACAAGGCATGGTAAGGAGGAGGCTGGAAACGGGGCAGAGAGCATCTCTGCACATCACTTCATTCTAGGTGGTGAGCTTGTGCTTGTCTGCTTCACCACCCAGATTTTCTTAACTGCGGGTGTGATGCGGAACACTGAGCAGTGAGAAAAGAGCACTTGTGATGTACAGTAGTTTCCTGTAGATGGATCGCTCATCTTTGCTGCTTTCTGGGTAGAACTTCATCTCAAATTGTGACTGATTACTCGAGTGATAGTTGCAGTATCTACCAAATGGTTCTTCAGATGCCCTAATGCGATTACTTCGTACAGGAGTTCTGCACCCAGACCTTGTGCAAAGCATCTGAATTATAAACACAGCCTTTTTTCCCTTTTTAGCAAGGTTGAGTGCTCCTGTTGTTCTGTTACAGGAACAGTGACCTTTTAACCTGATTGTGCTGCTCTGTTAAATTAAGAGGATGAGAATTTGGTTAGTGCTGCAGCTCTTCGAGCTGAGCTTTAACTGTCTTGGTATGGTACTTGGGTCAGAGCTTCAACTTTAGAGGAAAGACTGTATAGCATTGTTACTGCAGCTGTAATCCATGAGATTATGGAAAACACCAGCCTGCCCAAAGCACCAGTATGCATTCCACACACAGAGTAGTTGAATTTTGATCATAAACTGCTCTTGGCTTGGGGAATCACAGTCACGATGAAGGCAAACACAGGGTGCCAGTGAGACTGTGGCAAGGAATGTCTGGTGTTTCAGCTCTAATCATTCACTTTGGTTCTATCCTCAGTTTGTGCTGCTGATCCCCCTGGCTAATTGTTCCTTTCTCTGCAGCCTATACAGATGACCTGGGTGCTGTGGGTGGAGCTTGCCTGGAAGATGAAACCAACTCCCTTAGATTGGATGAAGACAGTGAGCATCCCCCCATGATCCTTCGGACAGACTAAACTTTGACCTGTGAACTCACTCCTGAAGCAGAGAACACTGGCTTGATGTTTCTTGAGGAATCTCGTGTTATGCTGCTATGAACTTTGACATGAGTTGGGAGAGAGGATGACAGACTCTTACCGTTTTAAGTCGTAGCTGTAGTTCTAATTCTATACAATTGGAAAAATATATGGTTTTCAATTCAGTGGCTTTTAATCTTGCTTATCTATTTTAGCTGTGTTTATTATTTTTTTTTTGTTGCCAAAACCTGCTGTTCGTGCAGCCCTCGGAGCCTACTAGCTTTGCATGCGTTCATGTGCCAAGCAAGCATAGGAGGGGGAGAGAGAGAGAAGCCACTTTATAACAAACTCGAGTTTGTATTTTTTTTATATATGTATATAATATTTAGCTTATATAAGAAAGGAGTAGAAGAAGTGGTTCTGGAAGCTGAGACTGGTTCTGCACTGACAAAGGTCCAAATGGTTTCCTGTGCATGGGCTTGCAGGCATACCTAGTGACTGACATGCAACCTCTCAAATGCAATGGCCTGTTTTTTTTGGGTTCTCCCTCCCCTTTCCTGGACCATTTTGTTAATTAAAATTCCTTCTGAATGTTGTGTATTTGTGGGACTGTTCTGTTTGTCAAGATGGAAAACTGGAAGTGTTTCCCTACATAAGGATGCAGAATATAGGAAGTGCCTTTAGAGGGAAGGAAAGAAATTGCTGCAGGAAGAAAGCTGGGATGAAGGAGGAATTGCCAGAGACTCTTGTTTGTACACCTTCAGTACTTGGGCATCTGTAGCCCGTAGTGGTTTTTTGTAGAGAAGGCTTTGAATGCACTTTCTCTCCTGTAGATTGTCTTATTTCCTCGGCAGAGTAGCAATAACCTTTTTTTTATATGCTTTAAATTATATGCTTTAAATTATCCAAAGCAAGGATTCTGCTGGAGAGTGTGGCAGCTCCACTCTTTAAACAGCCTTAAGGTTTTCAGCTGGAAGGCAAAGCTCTCCATTCTTGCTTCTCTTCAGTCTGGGGCTGGCTCTACTGGTCTAATAGTGAAGGTTCATGATCTTTTTTTCAAGATACTGATGTAAATATAAATGATTTTGGAAGATTAATTTTTTCTGGGTTCTCTTCTGATGAGTGTCAGTCCTTCTTTTTTTTTTTTTAACTTTTTATTTTTTTATTTCCTCTTGCATCAGAGTACCTCTTGTGATACACTCCGAGGACTGGTTGTCTCTTTGGCAGGTTTGGAATAAATCTTTTAACTGTCCTGACCCTGGCTGGGGCTTTCCAAGGCTGAGCAGTGCTGCAGACTATTTTTAGGGTCGTGATGTGCCTTCTTTTAAGTCTTGGATAACGGTTAGTGAGCAAGTGATTAGCAAAGTACTTGGTGAGTGTTACTTTCCTTTGCCAAAATAAGCCTGCTTTGCCTTTTGTGTAGCAGTGAGGGTTGCTTCCTTTCCCTCTTCTGACTGCTTGCAAAGAAATAAAAACAGACAAGGAAATTGCAGCTCTTGAGAGGAGGACAGAAGCTGAGGGCTCCAGCTACGTGTGAACTCCCCACCACAACTGGACAGTGATGTGCTTTTAGGATTTGGGGCTGTGAACGAGTCTTCCCTCACAATAGCAGGCAGTGGTCTGTCCCCAAGGCCCTGTGTTGAGCAGGTGGCTTTCCCTTTCCTCTAACCATGCAGAAGGTGGTGGTGGCTCCTGCTACCTGCATCAGTGAGGCTGCTCTTAGTTTGTGGATGTGGAAGATGTTCTTAGATGGGCACACAGGGAAAGAAGGGATCAGGCTTGTTTAGTCACTGAGAACCCTTGACTGTCCTGAGTGGTTGGCTGGAGGGGCTTGTGGTGTCCTCTCCAGAACCCACCACATCCAAAGCAAACCCCTGAGACATCACTTAGTCACTTGACTTTAAGCTCTGACAAACAACTAAATTCTGTGGCCTGGGATTATGTTTTTACTGCAAGTGTTATCAGCTTTGCTGTGGGGCTTATAACTGTGGAGTAAAATACAAATTTTGAAGTATGTATAATCTGAGTGAGCTTTGGCAAACTGAACCGCCCGGGAGCTGTCAGATGTCTGCTGGTTGCAGACTGAAGCTGGTGATGTTCCTGGTAACATACTTGGAGTCTTGGCGTGGGCTCCACCAGTAGAGTTAGCAGTAAACACACATAAGCAGCACAGGTCTGCTAAGCACACAGGTTTTACAACTCTTGAGTGAAATAAAGGCTGTGTTACATAGTAGGATATACCCCTTTAATGTAATTCCTAACTTACTGCTAAAATTCAGGACTTTTATTGTACTAGTTTTCCCCCCTTCTTAACTTTTCCACCTTATCTTCCACAGGTGAGTTGGAGATCTCATATTCACTGTGTTTGTGTCTTCCACGTGCTGTCGTGTGCTCCGGCTCCTCAGCCACATGCTGGCTGTCAAATCCCTGTGCCCTGCCTGGTTTGCTCTTAAGTAGAAGCTGGAAACCAGTTAAAGTATCTATCTTGTTGCTGTTGTAACTGGGAAAATCTTTTTAGAGAGCAAAAGGATTGATGTTCTGGGGTTAGTGACCAGCGTGGAGCTGGTGGGGTGCAGCGGGTGGTTTCTGGTCTTGACATCTGTCTGTTTACCCTATTTTGTATTTCTACTTCTGAGGCAGAAAGCTTTTATCTGCCCTGGACCTTTCTTATGTCTCTGTTTCTGACAGTGTATTTAAGAGTGGTGACAGTTTGTCTTAAGTTCATTGCATGAAGTTATAAACTTTTTCTCAGATGATAAAATATGTCTAATCATAGAATGGAATATTTCCCTCTGATGGCCTTGGGCCCTCAGGAACCACCCTGCTGTGGTTATGCTACCAAAGTGAGAAGCCTTTCAGCTTGGGGTTTCAAAGATGTATTTTTTATTATTGTTTGTGTTTTGTTTTTTTTTTCCCTCAAACATACCAGAAATGCTGTTTGCAGCTGCATCCTCACCTGGGTAGGGAGCACAGGATGGCAGTGCCGTGCTCTGCGGATCAGGTGGTGTCTAAATATCTCTGTCCTGATGGTCTGACAGCCCTGGATTCCCCAGGGCCAGCCAAGGAGAGGCTCTAGCCCTGTGCTGTGGCCACAGGCTTCCAGTCATACGATATGGGAACACCTTCACAGCCCCTCTCCTTTTAGACTGACCTTCCTTGGGAGGACAGAGTTTGTTGTGTGGCAGTGCCTCTCTCTCTAGATCCGGACTATGGTTGATAGCTTTTCTTTTTTAAACTCCTTAGAGAGTTGGGGGCAGAGATGGACAACTGAAACTACCAAAGCTGGCAGGGGAAGGGGGAACTTATAACCTTGGAATCCTAAACTCAGGTCTTAGATTGTGGTGGGATCTGTTCCCGGTGGGTACCCTGGGGAAGGAGCTGTTTTGATGTGCAAATAGTGAGTGTACACGCTCCTGCCGTCTCCACATCTGGCTGTTTACCCTGTTTTGTATTTCTACTTCTGAGCCAGAAAGCTTTTATCTGCCCTGGACCTTTCTTATGTCCCCGCTTCTGAAAAAGAAGTGATAGATACAAATCTAGCAGTTAAAAGGCTGGGCCTGGAGGAGGAGGAGGAATTAAAAAGCAAGAAGAGGTCAGTAAAAGCTGTTCCTTCTGAGGTCCTGTTCAGTGGGACTCTGCGAGTGTCCTTCTGGGATGAGGCGTGTGCCTGTCCCCTCCTCAGGTCCTACACAAGAGAGTTCCTTGGCTCTGTTTCTGCAGAGGGCTGGGGCAGAAGGGGTGACCTCTCAAGTCTGCCCGAATTCAGATAAATATCTGAGAAGGCTCTTGATGCGGTGACGGGTCGTTCCACAGAGGAACTGTGAGTGTGACAGTGAAAAAGGGAGCAAAGCCCTGAAGAGCCCCCAGCTCGGTGAGTGGGTCAGCGTAGAGCCCTGAGAAGCTGATGGGAGCACTCTTACATCCCAGGCTGGGCTTTCTGGGCTCTAATCATGGCATTAGCACCAAAGAGACGCGCAGTGAGATGGCAGAATTTCTCTCCTCGTGGGTCTCTGAGCTGTTTGGTGTACCCCGTGGGTGTGGGGATGCTCTGCTGCTCTTTGCAGAGCAACAGGAGCCTTTGTCTGAAGCTTTGGGGGGAATTGATCACTGTAGAGATTCGGGAAGTTTTTTTTTTATTCTGTGCTCCAGCTGTCCTGGCTAAGGGTGGCCTTGGTTTAACCTGTTAACATCTGGGAGCAAGGCAGAGTCTCTTCTCCACGTGTGCAGAGCAGGCCTTTGGGTTTGATTTTTTTTTTTTTTTTTTTTTTTCTGAAATCCGTGCTGCACTGTGCAAGGCTTGCAGTGAAGACAGCACGGCTCTGCCTGTAAATAAACCCTTTCACATTCCAGTTGCACAACCAAAGGAATTCAGCAAATTCCTATTTTATTTTTTTTTCCCCCTAACCATACCATGTCTTTTTTGTAATGCGCTTCAGATTGGCAAATCTCATCTTAATGCCACCTGGAGAATAATGGAGAAAAGGGGTTTGATTCTGGCTTGTGAATGGCTGTGGCTGTGCCCATTACTGCTCCCTGGGTGCTGTGGCTTTGCCCGTGGGGCTCTGGCTGTCCCTCCCCTGGCTCCCCCCCTGTCCCTTCCTCAGGAGTGTGGGGGATTCTTCTTCCCCAACCCATAGCTCTGGGTTTCTGTGGGGTGTTGACTCAACCCTCTGTCTGCCTGGGTCTGTTTGCTCTGGCCTTTGCTTCCCCCTGCATCCCGCGGTGCTCACTTCGCTCTGTTCGATAGCGCTGTCCATAAGTGGGGAAAAAAATTTAAAAAAAAAATCTGTCTTTTAACATTCCGCCTCACCGAGCGCCTGCCTCTCGCTGCCGGCCCGTCGCTCTTTGTAATTTTATATAACTGCCTAAGAAATTAAATCTGTGTTGTGATAAGTAGTCCGTGTCTTCTTCCTTTTTGTTGGCTGCTCGGAGATGGGGCCGGAGGAGAGTCGGGGTGATGCTCTGTGTGTTCTGTACCCGACCCCCCTCGCTCCTCGCTGTGCTTCTGTACCTGCTCTGGAAAGACACCGTCGGCTTGTGTTTTGTAGGGACTGGGAAAGGAAAAGCTGAGTTTCTCCTGGCACGTTTTGCTTGCAAATGTAATTTTTCCCTTAAACCTCTTCCCGAGGGATTTGTGTGTTTGGTGGTTTTTTTTTTCTGCTCCTCAGGTGAGTTTAAATCATTTCCTTTATTCTTTATTTTATGGGTTGGGTCTGAAGCAGCGCTTTCAAATGCACACCCTGCTCGCTGCGCTCTCACTCCAAGCTTGTTGCTTCTCACCTCCAAGCCCAGGAGGAGTATCCTGAGCCAGCCCTTGCCGATGGGTGAGGAGGCATCTCCTGCTTCTGTCCATAGCCTTCATTTTGCAGAGGATTGATGATAAACACTGATCAGGGTGGACAAAAGAGGAGAAAAAGCCTTTCTGCTCCTGCGGGCGATGGAGGAGCATGTGATGAGGAGACTCTGCTCGTTCTACGTGACTGTTTCATAGGGAGGGCTCAGCTGTGGAGCTGCAGACATCTCCTCTCCTGATGTAGCTCCGGAGGGCAACGCTGTCCTCCCGGTGCTGGTTTTGTGCCTCGGTTGCTTCAGGCAGAACA